AGACCCACGTTGGGGGTCAGGTCATAAAATGTGAATGGCTCCCTGCCATTTTGCCCTGTGGACCAAGAGGAGGGTAAGACTATTGAATCTCACCACAGCTTCCTTGTATTCTACTCTCAATACAGTCCATTCCTTCCATATTTCCTAAAAGAGTTTGATTGACAGTTTCAAGTTCTTCCTCTGGCCTTTAACACTAGCATGTGCTTTCTGAGACCTACTGCTCTGGAGAGCAAGCTTCACTGATTTCCTGCTTCTTGTACTGGGGTCCTGGGATGTGTGTGCTGGAAGCAAGCAACCAGATTTGATGGTGACAGGGTCTTCCAAAGGTTTCAGCATTCTATCTGTGTGTTTCCATTCTTTCCACTTCAACATTCTTTGAAGTCTATATGGGCCACACAAGGGTCCACAGTTTCCACTCCTCAAATATTTTTTTTCTGTAGGAAGCCCTTCCTGAAACCATTGATAAGCCTCACATTAAAGCAGTGTTCCAGATCTCTACTGAGGCATGTATTCTCTGGTCTTAGAGCCCTACATCACAAATTTCCATATTTGATCACTTCTATCCCTGATGTTTCTCCCATCAAAAGAAGATATACTGAGTGCCGCAAGACCTCGGGTTAAATACGAACATGGTTCTTCTGCAGTGATTGAGCGATCTTGCCTCACTACATGTGGCAAAGTTAGTTCCTGTACTGCAATTCCCCAATGCTACACCCCCATTTGGAAGACACACTCCAAGAATGAGTCCAAATTTGCTCATAAGTGATTATAAGCATGTGTAGGGTACAAACCATATGAAACTATTTATTTGTTATCCCCAGTAATGTTTTCCTTCAGAATAAACATAACTGAACAGAGATGTACATGGAAAGTTCTTTTTTCCCTTTGCCACTCTCTGCCCTTTCTTTGGGGGCACAAGTTTGCCCCTAGTGATTAAGGCCAGCAAGACCTGTCCCTGTTTCTAGCCCAAGGAAACAAATATGGATTCTTAAACTCTCCAGTGTGCAGCATCTGTAAGACTGAGAAATCTCTCTTGCTAATAAAGATCACTTCTTATGTAACATATCTGCAGTGTTTGCTTGTTCCAAAAGATGATTCCTTCTTTTCATGAGTAATAAAGTGGAGAAAAAGAGAAATTGAAGGTGGTGGATGATTTCATCCTGTTAGAGAAAAGAATAAACAATTGACAAATTTCATAAAAATGAAAAAGAACCCAGTAACGTAAAGTTTTTTGAATTTTAGGGAAAAGAGTATGAGAATAATCAAAGCTGGATAAGTCTAAAGGATTTCTAAGAAAAATCCTTATAATTAAGATGTTCTTTCTTTAGTATTTGTTTATAGAACTGTTATTTTATAAATAATATTCTTCAAATCTGTTGTGAAACAATACTTTTTGAAATCTCTGTAGAGATAATTAGATAAAAAGCACTATATAAAACAATAATATATACCCAATCATATCAGAGGTAATTTTGATGCGAAGTCATTAAGTTGCAAAAGAATTATTTATAAAGAAAAATAATCTCCTTACATGGTGGTCATGCATTTCAGGGCACAAAAATAATCGTGTGTGTGTGTAATGGGGGAGGGGGGGAGACAGAGACAGAGATATCGAGATCCTATAAAAATAATTATCTTTATTCAACAAGAAATTCTTTCAAGAGACATACAAATGCTGTGAACTGAAGTGGAAAAACCAATAAGTTGCTTAGTTCAAAATATCTTCACTCAGCTCAACTGATCTGCCAAAATGTTGAGTAAATGAAGAACCATCTATGTAAAAAAATTTTTTTAAATAAGACTTGTTTAGAATGATTCTTTACATTTTTGCTGTATTGTTTTTTCTCTTGCTTTGGAACAAAGAGGGATATGATGCATCTTTTAATATCCGTTCTCATTTCTCATGCAGAATTTGGGACGTGCAGAAGTCTACACATGAGTGAGTTTCTTAATGGTGCTTAGAGATATTTTGTAATATCAAAATGATGTGTCCCAAAAGACAAATTCTAAAAATTCTGTTCATTTTTACCCCAACATACGTACAAATTTTTTCCTTATTTAGTGAAAATATTGGAGAACAATGAAGAGGAATATGCATGATTAAGTCTGCTGGCTGCCGTCTTTGACTTGACAGATTGCTTGACTCATTTATATCAAAGTGTAGTTAGTTTTAAAAGAAATACTTTTACTTCCAACTTGGACTTATATTTGGGAAGTGAAGACAACATACCATCCTCACCGCGAACAAGGATGCTCCTGGGGAGAATGCCCCTGCTTTATAGGATTATAAAACACTTGATCTGGAAAGAACTACAGCAATGGCTTCCTTCAGCCCCTCAATGACTCGAAGAAGACAAGGACAGAAGTATCAGCTGACTGCTTCAAGTTTGCATAAAGAGGTGACCAGCCATTTCTGATTCCCCAGATCTTCCTGGGTTTAGCATGAAAATCTCATGTGCTAAGGAAGCCCTGAGTCTTAGGATGATTGAGTTTGCTAAAATTAGGTCTAGACTTCAGGTCTTGTGATTACTAACCCAGAAATGCTTGCCCACTCATCTTTGGGTTTTTGGGGGGTTGTTTGTTTATAATAAGAGTGTAGTTATTTTACTGCTAGAAGAATCTTTGCATATGTGTTTTAAGAACTAATTATGCATTCCTTACACATTTAAGGTTTGAAATTTAAAAATTAGTTTTAGTTTTGGTTTTTCAACAAATTTTTTAGAGAATTATTTCCAGATAAAACCCGCTTTAAATATTATTTAACTTCATTCTCTCTCCTGTCTCTTCTTCCTTTTTATTCTTGGAAAGAAGTATATTTGTGTTGTTATGCATGAATTAGAATGATAAATCAAATCAGTTAGACATTTCAAATAAACAAACAAAATGAATTTGAGAGGTTATAAGTGTTTGCAAGTGTCACCGTGGAGACAAGAGAATGGATTGTCACCATGGATACTTGCATAAACACTCTGCTTGTGATCATTTTCATGTGAAATCAGATATGGAAGAGATCTAGGAAGGAGGATATATAAATGGAGCTGGCATTGTGTGGCTGGAGATGACTTGTATAAAAAGATTGGGAGATACTAAAACAAGTTCTCTGTCTGTAATGCATCTGTGCTCACCATGGCTCCACACGTGAGCAAGAAAAACACTCGGGCAAAACCCCCAATTCAGAAGAAAGTACATTTCAGGCTGAATTTCATTTGAATGCCTATCAATAGTTATGTGTACACTGAAGCAGAAAGAGAGTGCAGTTTGGGTTCTGTATCTTTTAAGCACGCCTCTCTGACCACCCAAATATTCCATAAGCTGATGCACTTTACTTTCTTCCCTTTGCTTTTAGCTAGCTAATGGTGTGCTTCATTAGCTACCAAAATGTTACAGAGTTGAAGGTGATACCCAATCTAGTCTTCCAGTCCTTTATTCACTTCAGCCATCTGTCACTTTTGTTATATCGAATTCTATAGGGTTATGATGTTATAATGATGATAGCCAGTTTTTATTAAGTGCTTATCACATTGCAGAGGCTGTGATAGCATATTAGGAATATTATATTATTTGAAGCTGAACAACTCTTATAGAGAAATGCAAACATTATCTCCATCCTACCAACAAAGAAATTGAGGCACAGAGAAGTGAAATACATTGCCCAAGGTCACCCAGACAATGGTAAAGCCAGGAATCAAATCAGGCAGTCTAATGGCAGAGCCCACATTCTTCAGTTCTATACTCTCATGAGAAGATCAAGTTCTTGTCTCTGGTGTGCTTCAAACATAAATGAGGAAATAGAGATAGTGATGAATATTAATACTAGGGCAACAATATGTGTTTCTAGTATCCATATTTTAGTTAGTATTTAATTTTAGGTTACTGTCAAAATGAAACTTGTACTCCTATCTTTTCCTCCTCTACAGATGCTATATCATTGAGAGTCTTAGCTGCAAAAAATAAATTTCATACTAAATAGCTAAAAAGAAAGGGAAGAAATTGAAGTGTATCCATTAGCTTATGGACTATCTGGGCTGTCAGAGAGGCATGCTTAAAAGATACAGAACCCAAACAGCACTCCCTTTCTACTTCAGTGTACACATAACTATTGATAGGCATTCAAATGAAATTCATCCTGAAATGTACCTTCCAGCTTATAGGTGATTTGACTCAAGGGTTAGAGGCATTTGAAATAACCCTGGATATTCCCTATAAACTTTGTATCCTCTCAGAACACCTCTGGACAGCATCCAATGGTCAAGCTGTTCTATTGAGTACATAACTTTGGATGAGGTATTCCCAGGATTCCAAGAAGCTTTGTGTTGAGACAACAAACCTTTCTTGAGAAGGAGTGATAGGATGGGCAACCATGCCCAACAGTAGACATCAACAAATTTATTGTAAGCTTATAGAATGGCTATATCAATAATATTAGATATTATTTAAATAAAATCTGTGGAAGATTCCATTACAAATCACTGACACATGGGGAGTCAACTTTGTTTTGGTACTAATGAGTACTCAGCATACAGCAGGGTATACACAATCATGTTTTTTAAGGGAAAGTAAAAGGCAGCGTAAAACTCACTGGATTCAGCTCAGGACAGGACTAAGTTGTTATAAATATTGAGTTAGAAAATACAAGTGTAGTGCCTAGCACTGAGCAGACACATAATACCTGGCACTTCATTTCCTCCATCACATCTAATCTGATGGCTCCTTTGGGCATGAATAGAATTTCAAGCTGGGCTTTTCTAAGCCAGATTGGAAGCAGGATCCTGTCAGATATATAAAGGTAATTCTGGTTTTTTGCTCCCTTTGATGGAAATTTCACAGCAAAATATGTAACCTACCTCTATCTATCAAATATGTAAAATTTCATGGCATGATTTTTAATATCCTATACACAAAACTTCATCGCATATTCTAATTTTAATTTTTTCTTAAAAACCCTTTATTTCACTGTGTTTTATGAATCTTTTGGTTCTTAAATCCTTTTTTGAAAAAGTGGCCTGACCATTTGGATGCTCCTAGAATGCCTGACAATTACTCTGATGCCCTGGATCCCCTTCTAATCTCTATACGTGCAGGGTCTATACCTGAGGCTCCTTCAAAATTATTCCCAATTTGTCTTAGTTTTAAGCTGACTCTGGTATTTCTTTTTTCTTCAGTCCAATCTATCTGCCTTTATTTTTTAGATTTCTCATAATTTCTAGTCCCTAAGTGTTTTAGTCCACTTTTCTGCTGCTGTGACCAAAAGACCCAACAAGAACAATTTTAAAGGAGGAAAAGTTTTTTGGTGCTCACAGTTTAAGACGTCTCAGTCCATGGACAGTCAACTCCATTACTCTGGGCCTGAGGTGAGGGAGAACAACATGGCAGATGAGTGTGGTAGAGGAAAGCCTAGCTCAAGACATGACAATCAGAAAGCAGAAAAAGCTCCACTCACCAGGAATAAAATATTAACCCCACAACATGCCCTCAGTGACCCATCTCCTCCAGCCACACCCTATCTACTTAAAATTAACCACCCAGTTAATCCATGTCAGTGGACTAATGTACTAATTAAGTTAAGGCTTTCATGACCCAATCATTTCACCTCTAAATTGTTTTGCTTTGTCTCACACATGAGCATTTGGGGGACACCTCCTATCTTAACCACAACTCTGAGAGTCTCCCATGCTGATTTCCAGCACTGAGTTTCTTTTATTCACTTTCTATTTCCTTTTGCTCTGGAGATGGGAAGAGAATCAGAAATGTGCTCAGTCTGCCATCTTTTCACATATTCCCTACTCCCTACCTCAGTGTAGATTTGTTTACCTACAGTCTTCTGAACAGATATATGCAAATTTCAGAGAAGCCTCAACTCAGAGTCCAAAAGCAAGTCACTTTGCCCTGTGTGTGTGTTCTTCTATGTAACCCAGAAAAAATATCTGCTGCATCCTTACCCTTTTCCCTCTTTCATCTCTCTCACTCGATAAATGTCCAATTTCTAGTTATTTGACGTCCTAAATATTCAAATTCATCCACTTTTGTCATCTCTTCATTGCTATAGCATGAGACAATCCATCTACTATGTGCATGTGCTTTTGGAGACACTAAACAAAATGTTATCTAACAAATACTACTGTGTTTACAATGATCCAGGAACACTTCTGAAAGCCTATGAGACTCCAAGATTCAGCTCAGATCTTTTTGGAAACCCTTCTGAATTTTTCAGGCTGAGCTAAACCCAACACATCCTGTATAGATCATGTTCCCAGCATAGAGTATGGTGTTCTGATCTCCAATGTCATGAACAATCAATAAGACTTTATTAAAGCTACACTAGTCAGGTAGAGAATTTTACAGCAGACTTTGAAAAAGTATATAGAGAACATGTGGTTGATTCTTCCATAGAACTGTAGCTTCCAGAGGCCTACTCTTTCTGTCCTTTCAACAGTATTCAGCACTGAATAGGTACTTTGTAAATGTTGACAGGTCATTCTGTTGCTTAAAATCCTTTGAAGAGTTACCACTACTAAAGAGTTACTTTAAAGAGTTACCACTACCCTAGGTCATCCATATTCCTTAGGATGGCACACAAGCCTCCAACCTGTCCTTCTGGCTTCATCTTCCCCAGTCCTGGGTGTATTTCTTTTGCTCTAGCCACACTCAACTATTTCTTATGCTTCCAAAATAATGTTCCCTATAATTTCTCAAGGTTTGATATTAAATGCTCTATCTGGGACTTTAATAAAGTCTTATTTATTGTTCATGATATTGGGGCTCAGAACACTACACCTCAAAGAATAGCACTTTAGTATGCTGAGTATTTTGACCTAGAGATATTGGGAGTCCTCAGGAAAAAGATCTCTCTGATTTCCTCCTATCTTCCTGTCGCCTGCCAGTCTTTCTCCCCCTGAAGCAATTCATAGAAATCAGAATTCCCCTGCCTAAAAGTGGGACATAGAAATTAAAACCTCTTTTCTGCAAAACCAAGCTATAAAAATCCAGAGAGGTGACTCTCTTCCTTGTCATTTCTGTCTTGAAGACTCCCCTACAGGGGGGTCCTGACTTATACCCAGGAAGAAGGAGTGTTCTATAGAAAAGCCAAGAAAAACCAGACCAGAAAGAACTTGGTGAGTTTCCTGCCCCCTTACCTTTACTCAGTATATCACACTCTTTTGTCCAATAACATTTCTACATGGCTATCTATTTTTCATCTATCCTAAGCATAAAAATATATAGTTTCCCTTGGGTCTTTAGATCTTCACTCCTGAAATCCCCACATCAAGAAAAACTGATTAATTAAATTCATTAAGCTTTCCTCTTGTTATTCTATTCTTTGTTATAGGGACGTTGGCCATGAACCTCCTGATATTTGAGGAAAGGTATCAAACCTTCTACCCCTCCAGTGATCCAACTCAAAGATCACATATTATCACGTCACATGCTTCCCATGGATAGGACTTTTATATCCCAGAATTGCCTAAATTCATTTATCATATTATATTGTAATGATTTATTTAAGTGTCTCAATCTTTCTCCCAACTCACCCCATGGGCTTCAAAGTCTTTGAGCAAAAGCATTATATTTTACTCATCTTTGAATTTTCTCTACTTTTATATGTCATATATCTCAGCTCCTAGAATACAGCAGATTATCAAGTAAAGTTTAATATAATTAATGTATGAGTGAATAGATTGGTGTACCCCTATATACTGTACTATGTAGGATAGCTACAGAAACATCAAACATCCGTTTGTTTGAAATTCCTACGAAGATAGGATTTAGAATCTATTTGGGTGTGTGTGTGTGTGTGTGTGTGTGTGTGTGTGTTGGGGATTGAACTCATGGCACTCGACCACTGAGGCACATCCTCAACCCTATTTTGTATTTTATTTAGAGACAGGGTCTTGCTGAGTTGCTTAGCACCTCGTTTTGCTGAGGATGGCTTTGAACTTGCTATCCTCCTGCCTCAGCCTCCCAAGATGCTGGGATTACTGGTGTGAGCCACCGTGCCCAGCCACAGGATCTTATTTTAAGCTAAATTAGGAATCTTTATTTTCCAGTGCCTCATATAAATAGCCACACTTGGTTTATTGGCCAGCCACCCACTCTTCATTTCTGTTCCATTTTAATATAAAATATTTTTTACCCTTAGAATATTTTGCCCCCATTTCTAGTAGAACTATGCCATTATGATCATCTACTTATTATCTCTTACACAGTTTATACATAAGACAGTTTCTTGAAGGCAAATTTCTGTTATCCAATTCCAAATGCCTCTAGGTGGTTGCTGGAAAAACGCATGACTTTTAGACCATCTCAAGGCTATATGTTGGTAAAATGTTTGCTGCACCATGAAAAATAGTAATAATCATCTACAAAGAGACTTAAATAAAATGTAACTTATGTTTTCCCCAGGCCACATGAACCACAGGGCAAAAAAGAGGTCATATTAATAGGAATAAACTGTTTCTTTAGCTCTGAACCCCCACTTAATATTATAGGACCTCAAACCTTTTGCAAAATGTCCTATTCCATCCTCAGCTATTTTCAAAGGGCACTAAGAAATGTTTGAAATGTTTCAAAATAAGTCCTCACAGCATCCATGCAGCATACACCATTTTTCTCCTGGCCTCTCTTCATTTCTGCTGCTGAAGATGCATGGTTCTGCTGATCTAAGGGCATCTATGCCACCTTCCTTTGCTGCTCGTACTACTGGAAAATCCTAAGCATTGACCTAGCTTTGTCGTATATTCATATGTGAAAATAGGAAAGTTATGTCCAATTCATTCTACTGTCTTTCCCATTCCCATTCTCCCTCCCTTCCCCTCCATTTCCCCCATCCAATCTGGTGACCTTCCATCCCCCCACCCCCGCCAATTGTGAGTCAGCATCCACATGTCAGAGAGAACATTTGGCTTTGTTTTTTGGGGATTGGTTTATTTCATCTAGCATGATATGGATTTCTCATGTCAACCTCTTTATGGATTCAAAGCTGGGATGTGGAACAGGAGCAGATGGTTGAATTGCTTGTGCTACCCACACTGGCGTGGGACAGGACAATGTATGGAGGATTTATGTTTCATTCTCAATATGGTGGATGTATTTCCCTTCCCCACACTGAAAAGGCCACCACTTTTTGCTCCTATGTCTAACAGACTCTGTTGTGGGGCTAAAAGCAGAAGTTGCTGGGTAACTTGTAGGTAAACCCAGCCTCAAGTTTTTTGGAAGCATAAGCTCAAGAAAGTAATTGCTCCACACAATCTGCAAAATGATAGGACTCCAAAATTTGGGAAAAACGGGACTGTATCAATTTGAGGAAAAGAAAGGCTTTGGTGTTTTCTTGAGACTAAAGAGAGGAGGGTTTGATTATCTAGTAGGGAATGGAGATTAGTGCTATGCTTGTTCACGACACTCTGAGACACATACATCCTGTATGAGAATGTCATGTGCCCTGGAAGATGGACCCAGAAGTACCTGCCATCCTTGGAGACATTCCTTACACCAAAACTACCTATTTCCAAGAGAGCATGATCATGATGAACCAAACACTAGGGTGTGCATTCCTGTATTCTGGGTTCATTAATCAACAGAGACTATAATTTAACCCTAGGGAAGTAGAGGTGGCACCCCAAAAGGAGACCTACTATGCATTTCCTGTCACTACAAGTAAGTATAAGCTTATTGAGAACTTTATTTTTCAAATACAATGTTTTTTAAATCCATGTGATTAATCCCAGCTACTTGGGAGGCTGAGGCAGGAGGATCACAATTTTGAGACCAGTCTCAGCAACTTAGCAAGACCCTGTGTCAAAATTAGAAAAATAAAAAATAAAAAGGACTGGAGATATAGCCAAGTGGTTAATTGCCTCTGGGTTCAATCTCCAGGATGTATAAAATACATATATGCATGCATAAATACATATATAGATCATGTGTTGGTGGCTCACATTTTTTCCTGCTCTGAAGACTGGAGCTGGAAGTAGAGCTTGAGTCCCATGAGTTTTAATCTTGTGTGGTTCTTGTGTAGCTTTCTGTTTCTAGGGTCAAGGATAGAAGTAGGAACAAGATCAATTACTTGAAGGAACAAGATTAATGACAACTTAATTCCTCATCTTCCTCCTTGGTTCTTTATGTGTCCTGTTTTCTCACATGGATTTAACACTAGTTACTTTGGGGGTTACAAACCTCTTATTTTCAGGTATTCAGTCTATTCTGTGACATGGACCAGAGATAGGCTATGTCTCACAGAACTAGGAATGTCATAGACCTTTTGTCAGATCATCATGACTGTGGAAATTCATATGCCAAGATATTTCTCTTTAATGCCTCAAATGTCATACCAGGGAAGAGCTCTCTTCTTGTTGGTGTTGTGGGAGTAGGAATTATTGTGTATTGGCATTCACCATGATTCTCCCTGTATCTGAGGCTGGTTACAGATTTATATGCCAGAACCAAGTCTCCAAGGGAAACTCAAGGTGTTACAGCCAGCGATACTGATGATTTAGTGGATAATGTTCTTTTTACTGAACTTCAAATGAAACCAGAGAGTTATGAAGAACCATCCTTCAGCTGAGTCATAAAGACAAGTTCCTGCCCTCTTGTGGTTAAAAATTCATGAAGAATTTTCCAAAAGGCTGTTGAAAATCAGGCTTCTTTACATTCTTTCCATGTCCCTACTTAAATGATATGTATATGATTAAATACCTTTAGAGGTCTTCATTTTTGCCAGTGAACTGCAAACTGATGTTTCTGGTTAAATGAGAATGAAGTTAGACCTAATTACCATTGAGTTAAGCTAAAGAAAAATATGGAGAACCAAACAACAAAACAAACTGTAAATACCACTTACCTTTATTGGGCTTTGCTGCAAAGGTTGGCAGTATAAAAATTGGCATACCAAGATTTTCTCCCTGAGCTGGATAAACCTGACTGCCAACATGGGGCTGGCAACAGTTGCTGCTTCTTCGGTTTAACCATAACTCCTCAGACAGGGATCTTTGGTCCTGGAGTGGAACAAAGAGGGAGGAGGGTTGGAAATTTGATAACAATGTCTATAAAAACGGGTCTGTGTCTCATAATTGTCCCACCTGCCATAGGTTGCAGGTGTACCTTCAAAAGTGGTTTTCAAATAGCAAATTTTGCCACTCACAGTATTCTCAGAGATGCTTTACTTTTGTTATTATAGACTTGTCAAAAGTCACTAGACTATTTCCTTCTGTGATGACCATATCATTGGAAGAAAGGCAGGGATCTTGATGAACTATCTCAGAATTGTCAACATCATATAGGGAGGGAAACATGCTTCCTTCTATGCTTTTAGGTTATTTGGTATAAGAATTAACTCAACATTAGGAAGATTAATAGGAGCAGTTTTAATTACATGGGTACACAGGAGAACACAGAAACACATGAGACTCTGGGGAGCAGCCAGATGATGGAGATATTCCTCATCCTGCACTAGAGAGCTATGGAAGAATACAGATTTGGGACTCTGGGTGATGGAGGGTGGAAAATTATGGAAAGTGAAAGGAAATGCATAGTGAATGAAGTTTGCCTCATTATGCACATGGAAATCTCTCCAGTGAGAAAACTCTGACCAGCCCTCTTCCTTGTTCAGATATCTTTACTAATGAAAATTTCCTTTATAAATAACACATTTCCTTTGCAAAGGATTTTGGGGGAATTTATACTTTATTTTAGGTAATTGAATGGAGATTTAGAGCTTTTTCTGCATGGGCTGGTTCTCAATTTCTTTTAGCTCACAATAATTACTGTGCCAAAGTGGCATATTTTGGGTGACATGTTCTGAACCCCTTACTGCCCTCTTGCAATTAATAATTCATGTTGTTTTCAAAAAGCTCTTAACACCCCAAACTGGAACCCATGTTTATTAGCACCCTGACCTTGGTCTCAAGGCATCTACCTGTGGGGTCCTGTGGAGATAGTGACTGTGTTCCTGCCCACTTAACTTTCTGATTCAACACACACACACACACACACACACACACACACACATACACACTTCCAATTTTATGTTCATTTTTACATTAGAATATTCAAATTTAAAGAGGCTAAATAACTTATTAAAGTCATACAGCTAGAAAGTGGCAGAGGTGGTATTCAAATCTAGGTGGTTTAACTTCCAAATTCAACTCTCTCAGCCTCACTCAAAAGAAAGCATTTTAAGCTTACTTAGAACACACAGAGGGAGGCAGGTGTCATCCTGGGCTTAGGAGGCCAAGGAAGCTGTACAGTCATATCAAATTAATTAGTGCAACTTCCTCTCCACCTGGGGTTCTGTCCACACTCACCTCTCCAGGCAACCATTGATACGGCCTTATACTGGGCCCCTCCTGTTTTCATTTATACCTCCCCTGAGACCAGAGGAAAGCATTACAAGTCTGATTTCCTGTGAGCAACATCCCCACAGGAGAGAAGCAGCCTGTAGGAGAATAGTGCAAATGGTCCACATGTTTCACAAGATGTGGGGACAAAGACAGATGCTCTCCCCTAACAGTTTGTTTTTCTTGGATGTGATAAGACAAGATCATATTACTATACAGAAGCAGCTTTTATAACTCCATCAAATATGTATTATACTTTCAAATTTGCCTAACATGACATTTTCTAAGATTTTTTCCATTAAAATCAAGAATTATAATATTTATGATATTAGCTAACAGCATGTGTACTGCTGACCCAAAAATGATTTCTAGTACTAAAAGGTAAGCAAAGTAAGTCAATCCAAAAAAACCAAAGACCAACTGTACTCTCTGACAAGTGGGTGCTGATCCATAATGGGGGAAGCATGGGAAAAAATGGAGGAATGTTGATCAGGCAAAGGGGAGGGGAGGTGGGTGTACGGAGACAGGAAAGATGGTGGAATGAGATGGACATGATTACCCTAGGTATGTGTGTGACTGCACATATGGTGTGACACTACATCGTGTACAACCATAGAAATAAAGTTGTGCTGCAATTGTGTACAATGAATCGAAATGCATTCTGCTCTCATATATACCTGATTTAAATAAATAGATAATTTTTTTAAAAAGGCTCTTGTGATGAAAATTAGGTTGGACAAAGCACCACACCCATGGTCATGAGTAACATCTCACCCTGTCAGCTCCTGGGTTGAGTTTTAGTTCTCTACATAACCCATCTTGTGTCTCTGTTTCTTCCTGGAAGGTGTGGGTCTTGGGAATGAATCCAAGAATCTGTAACAGAATAAATGGCATATACCTGATGAATGTAGCTGCTCCTGACATTGAGATGATGCTCTTGATCCTCCTGATCTATTTGGTGACATTTTATTTGGCAGGTTTAAAAGAGTGAAATAGAGAGAGCTGTCTGGGCTTAGCAGGAAAGTCTTGCCTCTTTATTATTCCTGTGTTCTCAGGTGGCGTCATGATTCATAATTCATTTTGAACTGAGTATCTGTGGCTCTTATCAAACAAATCATGTTAATTTCATAAAGTTGAGTCAAGTAAGGATAACAGCAAAAGATTCAGAGAAACTTTCATTTGGAGTAATACATTTATAGATGGTTGAGGGCCTCCAGGAAATAATGTCTGTCTGTTGTGTTGTTTTCTGGAATAAACTATGCTTGTCAGCTTCAGAGCTATTAGGGTTTTTTCTTCACCCTTTATTTGTTTACCATCTTTATTGAGGTATAATTGACAAATGAAACTTGCAGGTTGAACATGTTTTCAGATTTCTATTGTGCTTTAAAAATTAAGCAATGAAACAGATTGTTATAGTATTTTTCAGATCTATTTAAGGCATTATTCAGCTGCTTACAAATACTTTTTGGAGGTTTTAGCATTCGTTTTAAACCATATTGATTCATTCTACAGGTATTTGCACACTTCCACCCATGGGTCTACCCTGTGCTACTGTTGAAGCATCAGTGGTAAATACAATGGTGCTGTCTCCACTTGCAGTGGGCATCACTATTTAATGAGAAAGAGAAAATAAACATAATAAATACTTTGAAACATTCTATGAAGGGTAATAATAATGCTGAAGATAGAATGGCATGTGCTATTTATACAGGAGGATCGTGGAAGGTGTCTCTGAGGGGCAGAGGTCAAAGGATGAGAAGCATGAGAAGCCATGCAAGTAAATAAGCAGAGGAAACCAGACTTGAAAATGCCCTACAGACAGGAATTGTCTTCCACTGAGATCCTGCAGAGATAGATTGGCAGTGGATACTGGGAACTGACACTTGAAATACTGGAGTGAAGATTTCAAGTAGGCAACTGAATAATCTCGAGTCCAGAAATAAGGTCAATGGGAGATACAAAGTAAGAACTGTCAGGGTGTAGATAAACAGTTTAAGACAATACAGTGGACAGAATTGCCCAGCAAGAGAGTACAGAGAAAAGAGAAACTATTCAGTATAGAAGAAAGAGCCACAAAAGAGTCAACCAAGAAAGGCGAAAACTGGAGAAATGGCTTATCAGAGATGCCAAAGTGGGAGGGAAGAGAATTACTGCCTAAGAATGTAAAATGATAAGTGCATGTATTTCTCCCCTTTCTATACCAAGACTACAGTAAATGATGGTAAATAAAAAATTTTCAAAATTCATAAAACCACCACAACAAAGTCACCAGGAGAAGAACCAAGGTCAGTGGCTTTGTGTCAATGATTTCAGGAGATGGAAAGCAGATGGAAGTGACTGTGATGGAGGAAGCCACAGCTCAGAGAACACGAAGGGGAAACAGACTTCAGGAGAGCCCCAGCCTGCACTGCAGCCTGGAGCATCCCAGGATATGCCAGGTGTGAGAGGAGAGAAATAAGACTCAGGGCTGAAACAGGGTAACTGAGTCCAAAAAAAAATATGTTTAACTGTTGCTATTCCTCCATACCGATCCTTGCCTTCTGAATTTCTGTTACACATACCACAAAAGTCTCCTCTAGGGAAATTGAAGACCTACATTCTCTACCTTCTAAAGACTTATGAGTATAAATAATGTCTATTCCTAAGAAGCATTTTAATGTAAAATTTGTGAATTAACAAAGAATCTGGGAGATTAAAACTACTTTTCATTCATTTACCTGAAAATGCCATAATTTATATCATGCTAAGTGAAGTAAGCCAATCCCCCAAAAAACAAAGGCCAAATGTTCTCTTTGATAAGTGAATGCTGATCCATAATGGGAGGTGGGACATAGGAAAAATGGAGGAAATTTGATAGGGCAAAGGGGAGCAAGGGAAGGCGAGGAGGCATGGGGGCAGGAAAGATTGTGGAATGAGATGGATGAGATCATTATCCTAGTTACATGTATGATTGCACATATGGTGCAACACTACATTGTGTACGACCAGAGAAATGAAAAGTTATTGTGTACAATGAACCAAAATGCATTCTGCTATACCTAATTAGAATAAATTAATTAATTAATTTAAAAAAATTTAAAGTACTTCCCAAGTAATAATGGCATAATATAACTTTCCAACGCCACATTATGCACTGAGTGATAATGGATAGGCACTGGTGGTTATAAGTAACTCTCTATTAATCAGTGTGAGTACCAAGCATTACCAGTAGGCAAATGATTCTGTTCTACCATGCTTTGTTTAAAAAAACAAAATGACAAATTTCATTTAAGAATGTCATTGCTGACATAGTAAAAATTGTTGATATTATTAAGTTTGGCCCTTGAGTACATGTTTTTTTAAATATTTTTTGTCAAAGAAAGAAGTGTGGTATCAAATCAGCTCTTGATCTCACCTAATAAGCAAGGAAGATAATACCAGAGGAAATTTTTTGTTGTACATAAAAGGAATAAAAAGTGCCACAAGTGGAAAACAAGAGCTTAGAAATAGAAATATTATTTCTAATTTAAATTTCATTAAATATAATTGGTTATTAGAAGTAAAAATGTTACAATATATCCACTGAAACTCATCACTGTGTACAATTAACACATGTTAATAAAAAATTTCTCCCCCAAAAAGAAGTGTGCACAATCTTCTGTTTACACAAATAGCTAGGCATTTTTGGAGATAAGTAATTGTGCAATTGTTTGAGATATGAGCTGAATTAAGATGTTTTTGTTATTGCATAAATTATAGTTATTCAAACTTGGAGTTTTAGCAGACATTTCCTAAAAATGAATTAAACAAACTTGGGTCAATGAAAACAACTGACAGTATTTATTGCTAATGATAAAACACAAACTCTCAAGCAGAAATTAGAATGTGGAATGCATTTCACCACTATGAACTGAAAGATTTCCACTACTAAAAGACTTTTCTGGTGAGAACAATAATAATGTTATCAAATATTATCTTCTGATGTTGTAAAATGAAATACATCAACGTTTCAAAGATCTATACTACACATTGAACCATTTTCTAAATAACCAATGCATGAAGTTACAAAATCATATATAAGCAAAAGCTATTCAAAGTATGAGATAGATCAATAGATTTTAATGCAACGTTTTCTGAATAACTAATGCGCAATGTTACTAAATTGTACATAAGCTATTCAAAGTATGAGCTAGATCAATAGATTTTAATGCAAAAGAGTATGAAAACAGCAATGATATATATATAAGATTCTGCATTTCAATTAACCTTTAAGAAATTGTTTTGATGAAGTAGAAAACTATCCACAACAGACATTGTTTTCTCTTCAGAGAACAATATTTACAAAGTTACAATAGCATCAGCACTTCATTAATTTGTAATTTTTAGGATCAATTTATAGGCCTAATTATTGTTACAGAATAAATGGCAAATACCATCAACCATGTCCATTCAGTAAGGCAAACACAGAATGCAGAAAGTGAGAGATAGAAAAGGGAAAGAAATGAAATATAAGACAAAAGAAATAATTCTCTCATTTTAGAAAAAGTTAAAATATATTACCTATAGATGATGGAATAAAAACATGAAAATGTTAGCATTTTAGCAAATATTATGCAAAGTAACAATTAATATAGTAAATACACTTGTATTGAGAGAAATATATAACACCTATAACACAAAGGAAAAATGAGAATAACATTAGATAAGAAAGCTAAGTGCTTATTTATCATAAGAGAAACCAAGGATAAAAATCAAGATTTTTTTATATTGCTAAGAAACATTAGAAATTTAGAAATTATTGCCTCTGGGGTAATGAAGAAAGGACATTTGGACATGGTAGTATGTATTTCCAGATAAAATACAGATGACCCAGCTAAATTGAATTTTAGATAAAAATAAACACTTTATAAATGTAAGTATGTTTCATTCAATTTTGGAACATACTTACATTTTTAAAGGGTTCATTGTTTATCTGAAATTCAAATTTGGCTGGGTGTTCTATGTTTTTGTTTGTCAAATCTGATAACTGAATTAACTGTTTTGTTATCATTGGCCTTTTAGTATGCTGAAACATTTTAATCATATGTTAAATAATTACATTTTAATCATATGTTAAATAAAAACATTTTAATCATATGTTAAATAATTACATGATAAATTCTTTTTAAAAGGTGGGTGAGGGGAAAGAAGGAAGGGGTTGAGCCAAGGTATCCAACTTGGTGAGAGGTCAAGTATGAGGTTGTATATGTGCTTATTCTAAGGCTTGATGGCCACATGGAGATCAGCAATGGCTCAGACAAGAATAGCTTTAGTGAAGTGATGGGAACGCAAGCTGGATTCTAGAGGATGAATGAGTGAACAAAAAGTACAAAGGAAAAGTAATTATAGAATTGGAAGAAAGGAAAGTAGGACACAAATTTGAAGAAAATCCATGGATTTCAGACAATGCTTCTTTTGTCTATATCTACCATATATCTCAAAAGCATTTCTTTTTCAAGCAATCACATAAGATCTGTTCAGTATAATAAATAAGCAATTCTAATAAAAATATTTTGGGGTAATGACATAAGATATGTCCCCCTTCCAAAAAGCTGAGTAGGAAAGTGTCTGTCGTTTTGATCAAGGGATGTTTGTAACAATATGAGCACTTTTAAAGAAAGGAGGAAGTGAGTAAGAACATGATACAGTGATTCACTGTACCATTTAAGTTAGGTATGGGGCTAGAGGGATACTTCCAATCTCATTCTCGTGAATAAAAGGAATTAATCCAATCTCTCTCTCCCATGAAGACCTGGAACTCTAACTTTCATATAATTTAAATCTACTCAGGGCTCAAAATAAGCACAAAATATACATTTGATCTTGGAGAAATACAAATGTGACTAAGACATAGA